CCGTGGAAACTGGATCGCGGAATATTTTTGTCCCTTTTCATTAGTTATCTAGTACTTTAATTGTTATCATTTTTATGCAATGATTGTTATCATAATCATCATTATTTCTTAAAAGACCATTTAATAAATCGCAAGATAATACACACACATTGCATACACAATAATATAAAATAATATACACATTTTAATGTGTAAAATATTTTATTTAAAAAAACCTAATCATATATTGAAGAATAAGTAATAATTAACAACATCTTTTAATGTTCAATGTATTATGTGCAAATTTAGGTAATGCAGTTACGTAAATGTTGTCTAAATGTTGTCTAAAATGTTGTCTTGTTGAAATGCATTTAAAAGTAAGTAGATTAATTTAAACGGTGTGTTTGTTTTATACTTGTATAATTTATTTCATACAAAAATTGGAAAACTTATAGAGCGCAATGATAACAAGTTTTTCAGGGAATTGTATATTCCTCATACTGTCGTGTTTTTCAACCGGGTTTTAAAACTAGGCACACGTATAATGGAACATTGAAATGAGAGCAATTGTTTCGATTCGTCGGAGAATTGCCGAATCGCGCGATGGACGCGGTGTCAATCGATCGGTGAAATTTGCAATTCAGAACAGTTGACAGTAGATTCGGTTCCGCGAATTCGATCCCGTCGAAAAAAGGAAACGGGGAAAGCTTTACGATAAGGCGGATTTCGCAATCCGGAGCTGCATTTTATCAGAATTGCCAGGACGCGCTCGTGAATCTTCGCTTTGATGCGGATTCGCGTTTTTACGGACCGCGCGATAAATTCGATGTCCAGCCGGTCGGATTTCGTGGATGCGCGAGCTATCGATCGTATCGGAAATGGAAAACCGGTAAATAATGTCGAGCGCGAGATTAACACCAGTATACAGATTAAAACGCTTATAATTAAATCGTTTGTTTTTGCTATCGATACTGTCGATTGCTGTTATCTGGCTATCGGGTCGAAATCACGAAACATTTAACACCTCTGGAGGAATAAACTGCGTTATCAGAATTATTGCGGCGACGCGGCATTTCGTAATTCAATAATCCCTTACTATTTTAACAATTAATGGAACATATAATATTGAAGAAGTTGTAAGGCGAGCCACTTGAAATAATCGTGCATTATTTTGTAACGATAAATAATTCTTATACATTTCTGCTATATTATATATAATTATCAATTTTTAATGATTTGTGAAAGAGGTGACATTTCCAAAATTCAAAGTTGGAATAGTTATCACATTAATTATTATTTATCATTATTAGTGTTGCCATATTAAAAATACTAAAACTCACCGGAGTAGAGTACTTAAAGTGGTCTGTCTGATCATGCAGCACTGCAAGATAGGCGCCAAAATCGATGTCTCATCGTGGAAGGGTTTTCCGAATCCTCTTCCGTGGTCCAAATGCAACGTGAAACTATCATTTCCAAAGATCCTAAACGTTTCGTAATGATGGCGATCCATATTGCCCGTTAAAAAATCAAAGACCGCCATATCCATCAGGTCGAGCAATCGTCGACCTTCGTCGTATGGCGAGATTTCTTTTACTAAAGAGCAATAATCGGAATCTGCAGATAATAACATCAAAATTTTATTGGTTAAATATGTATTATTTGAAATAGTATTATTTAAAAATAACAGATTTGAATATTTAGAAATACACGTGACTGAAACGAATAATTATAAACCGAAATGTGTGTGTATATCGATATGCAAAACTATTTTGATCTTAGCTATATTTCTTCTCTTATTGAATTATTCCTCATCTGTATAAATGGAACATTTATTTTTCTCTATGCTAAATATATGTCTTACTTATTTATCATATTATTCTTGTACTTAGAAATTTTTTATTATTTGTTATCTTGATTTAATTAATGTTAACAATGTTGTATTATAACTTTAATCAATTCTTTCCTAACGTTAATGAATGAATAAATAGACTTGTAATCTTGACATTGTTTTTTGATTGTTATAGTTGGTTCCTTTAATAATTCTTTATAGATTTTTTATACATTATTTTCGTTATTTTACACTACGGTGAGAAGAAATGTCAAGATCACTTGTCCATTTATTTACTAATTAGTTAGTTTATTGATTGAAATTTTATAATAGTACAATCTGTCAACATTAATTGAAACAAAAGTAATAAGATTTTTAAATACAAGAATAAAATAAGATACAAGAAGGAAACAAAATTTATTTTGAAAACAATGAGTTCAACTACTTATAAATACAACGAAGAAAAAGAAAAATTTTGTCTTTTCTTATAAAATATTTAGAATTCTTTATGAAATTCTGATGACACTCTTAAAGAAATTATCTTGAGACTGTACCGTGTTCCCACTGAGCTTTCTTGCGCTTGTGATAGCTTCTACGCCAAGGGTGTCGCCAAGCCTTTCTGGCCGCGAGAGCTTTGTCAGGTAGAAAAGCGGCGAAGCTACCCTCCAGAGTGTCGGGACTGCCGCAGACCGCATGTGCAGTGTCACAATAGTAACTGCACTTGCCGTGGAAGCACAGGTTGCCGGCTGGGCTCACGAAGAACGTCTTGAGCAGCTCACCGTCGGCGATTTGATAAATTTCTGTTGTAACATTGAGAGTTCGACCGCTCACTGGCATCGCTCTCCGGAAACCCAGAAGTCTGTAACCGAGAAAACAAGATTTGTGTTTTAAAATAATGCGAATAGAAAAGATTAATATTAGCTCCGTGGCGATTTTGAAAACAAAAAGTCCCATTTTATGATAAAAAGGGAATTGTACGGGTCTTCCGTCTTAAATGAGATTTCTTCCCTTTTATAATACGAGAAAATTACGGAATAATATTGTAATAAACGAAATATACGGAATAATATATACAGAATGAACACTTGTGGTAGATAAATTTTTTTTAGATAGATCGAATAGAATCTATGTCTACTTTTGGTATCTTTATAAGAAATCAATTGTTCCATTTTTTGCTTACAAATAATTGATTTTGCATTTAGAATCAAGCAAAGTTGTTATTCTATATATATTCCATAAAGTATTAGATAAATATTACATTACCTGTCTAGATGAAAGGAGGCAATTTCGGCGGTATGCCTCTCAAAATCCGTGAAGTAGAAGTGGTTTGGCAAAGTTTGCTGCTCCCTCGGGAACCTGCGATTGATAATGACTCCGGTTATCATTATGATAAAAGCAACATTACATGTAAAACGAGTAAAGTTAGTCAGAAGATTAGGGTCTGTCCTCCTTCCCTGACAAAGTAAAAAATTATGAAAGAAAGATAAAAGCAATGGTGTAATTAACATTCTTTTTATTATAATTATGATTTTGGGAACATTTAAAAAGATGTGCGATGGCCTTAGGACACCCTATGTAAGGAGGAGCGTGTCTGAAAGAAACTCGCGTGCGTAATATTGTGGGTATTATCCGAAATTGCTATATTGCGAAAGATTAAGGCAAATTGCGGCATCAATCGATCGATATCTGTCGCGTGACTTCGTGACCGCCATTGTATATTGCGTAACGCAGTAATCATGCTGATTATATTTGTTACTTTATTCGCTAAATTTGTTATACTTATTACATTTTATGTACAAAATAATTGGCGAAATTTTCGAAATTTTGCGCAAAATAATTGTGTTCTAAAATCTTTAAAAAACAAGAAATTTTAATTTTTTTTCTAAATATTATTGAAGAATTGATTTCGTTAGTTATACGCCTCATTTCTGCTAATAATTTGTATTACAGTGTATTTTACGAGGCATGATTATTCATTTAGCGGATGAATTAATATAATTGAACAATACACGTATCAATGTTCTGATATAACAATTGTTACAAATCCGTGCTCGTTATTAATCGCTCGCTATTTGATAATTATTCCAATGCTTCCCGATACATAACGCTAAACTTCACTAAAATTATTAGACGTTTCATTTAACTAAGCAAATTAAAATAATAGTGTTACGCAATATACAAACAAATATGATATCATTTAAACGAATAAAAAAGATTTTTTTTATTCTGCGATGTTGCGCCTATTTTTACATACAACCGGATAAACTTATCTTATTTTATTATCTTAGATTGACAAATATCAAACTGTGCAACGTGTAGTCTTAACATTGAGCGACAAAAAAGAAAAGAAAGAAACCAAAATTATTCGCCAGGGAAGTGCAGCAAAGGGACAATGCGAGAGCTCAGGCTTTTATTGGTCCCCGAGCTTCTCTCGAGGATCTCTCTTGAGAGGAGCAGGAGGGGCAAAAGAAGGACGAAGGGTCGGGGAAAAGGGGAGGGAAGAGAGAGCTTCAGGAGTTCCGCAAACTCGAGCGCGATCAAATATTTACCCGGTGATCTTGGTGCGGGTTTTACGAGTCGCGCGGTATATGTATATAGATATATACACGTGAGACAGGACAATAAGCACAAGCGAGGAGCATGAATCTCGCGAGCGGGATCCAATCGACTCTGGAGAACAAGGGAAAAATCTACCTCGCAAAAACCGGGTCGATCGAGCAGTTAATTTGAGGTTCGTGTGCGATACGTAGCTTTCTTTTTATTAACAAATTTAATTTTCTAAATTTTCATAGACATAGAAATATATGATAGATAATAAATCCGTTATAAATGTGACTCCTAACTCCGCTCAATTAAATCGCCAAATTAAATTTATTCCATAAAATATAAATCGTTACTTCCATAAAGTTAGTCTCGAAACTTTACGAGATAATATTAAATGCGAATTCAGTGCGCAAATCATAAAAGAAATACAATATAAAGGCAGCAATCGTATAAAGGGAATATGTCGTGAAGAATATTTTTGTCCTCTTCCCGGAGAGATTGAGCAAATTTTGTCCAAGCAAGTAACGAGAGCTTATTGCGGCCAGCTCGCCATCTCGCCGAAATTCTCGCCGCCGCTCTCGCGGGGTCGCAAACTTTCCCGGGAACTTATTGGCGAACTTATTACTGGAGTTTAAGCCGCGCGAGCGGCGGCCACTTATCGTGGAATCTTCGGCCCACTGGAAGTTTAAAGGGTTTCGGACTCGTGTGAAGCCCACTATGAGAGCGAAAGAGAGGGGAGGGCGAAGGGAGGACGGAGAGAGCGAGAGAGTTGCAATATGAGCCTTGTCTGAAAATTTCTCTCGATCTTTCCGGATATTGCACCGCATCGCCATTCCTCTACTTAGCGTATCCCGAAGAGCATTATTGGAATGTTGATTATTATAAATTGAGGAGCGATTACACGATAATTTAGAAAAAAATGATTATTGCTGCTATTGCCGTATTGTATTTCTTATCGATTCTCTGAAGATTCTATTACGATACATGATATTTGCGTTGCTTGAAATACGCTCTAATGCTTTTACATTACTATTTTATATTGAGTAAAAATTTAAAAACCTACATTCGTGTTTGATTTGAAAGCGTTAGAAACAACGTACGGAGTCATCACGTTTTGAAACGAAAACGAGTCGAGCGGACATCAATTGAATTTCAATTGAAGTCGTCACGTCGCGATAAGGTGACGCGCAAAAAAGCACGTGTGCCTGGAAACACGAAACAATGGCGTGTGTGACATATCATTCGCGTGAAAGACGATATAAGAAGAAAAAGAAGAGCGACGGAAGAGGGGAGGGGGATGATGAAGGGGGGCCGGTTGCTCGAGAGTGTTTCTCTCACGGCACGAGACGTGCGCTCAGGACACCACTTATGTAATTGCGCTCGTAATCTGATCCGTGTAACTTCGTCAGTGGGAAAAACCGAGAGAAGCGATTATGTGTCCGCTTCACGTCGGATCTTATCAATCTCGGCTTTACGAGAGATCAGCGCAGATGTTCCAGAATTTTTATTAATTCTAAGTATTGTTATGAAATCTTTTTTTTTTTTTATTCTTTTTTAATGTAGAACTTCGCGAAAATTCGCCGATTGTAAGAAATTAGTTTGGAAAATTCTTTCGAAGTTTTCGTACGAGAAATGTTAATTATAAATGATTTCAGTAGTCTATTCTTGAAACACTTTTATACATCCTATACGTGTCAAATAATAACTTCCCGCGGCAATTTTGACGTTAACGAAAGGCGATACACTTGCAAATTTGCAAATAGACTGTGAATTCAAGACGGCGATTCGGGCGATGTCTCGGCGTTAATTTGGGCGCTATCGGGACGACATTTCCCGCAGGGGCGTCGCGATGCCTTGCCGTCACCGACAAACTGCCGAAGTAATTTCGCGCGCTGCCTGCCTGCGACCCCAAGATACGCCAAGAACTTTGCCACACTCTGTGGTCTCGCTACCATCACTTGTGCGAGTCGCAAAAGCTGACCTCTCCTTCGTAATTTGCACACGATCACTCTTAATTAGCGCCATAATCGCGCAATTTGCGTTCGCGATATTCATTTTGTTTGATAGATATCTATGTGATTGAAACATCAATAATTATCACTACTTCCATCGGATGGAAAGATTGATACTTTTATATAAATTGATTTTTATTAAAATGTGTTTAGTGCACGGTTGATCTGATTTGCGGTAGAATTTTTTTGTATCACCGTTGGCCTAAAAAGCTAAAAAAACTGCCCTTAGGAATAGGGATAAAGAGCGAAAGTGTTAAATATAGTTACATCTGGTGTATTGATTGTGTACTTACCGCATTGGTTTGAACAGCGCTTGCATGTTATCACCGTAATCAATGACTAGCTTTAATTGCGTGCCACCGTCCTTCTGAACTGGAACAAATCAAAAGCAAAATAATTTTAGATACATAATATTTTAATGACAATTATGCACTTTTATTTAAAAAAAATTCCGTTCAATAATTCAAATAATAATCGATAACTTCTTATTAATCATATCGTTGGAATAATTAGGATGCTTTTCGTAAACCGCATTTAAAAAACCGCGATAAAGCTAAGCGATTGCTTAGCTCTTGAATCATCATAAGCATTAAGTAATCTTAGTCGATAATTCATCGCGTAGCGATGAATCGTCGCGACCAAATAATAAAGTGTCCGTCGTCTGCGGTCTGAATTAAGTATACGACATTTACAAGATTACTTATACAGTCGGGACGAGAGATCGATATAACCGAAGCAAAATTATCCGAGTAAACCACTACGCTGTAATAATCTATCAGCAAATTAAATTTCTATATTGATGATTTTACAATTAGAAGTGTCATCAGGGCAACTTATAATTAGCTAATGCGAATCGAGCAATTGACATATTGCATCTTTTATACATCATATGTATCTTCCATGAAAAATGTGCCTTATATTTTACTTTTCTGAATAGTTTATATTATCTGGCATAGATTATTTATATATAATCAAACGTATTTTTATGCATAGCTTCAATTAAGTTGAATAATAACTTTTCAGCTTATACTGATGATACGTCAACTGAATTGCCATCACGTGGATAATTAGACTAATTAACACGGTTAATTAAATACATTTCCTATTATTCTCGATGAATGTTAGTTCTCAAAATTACACAATGAGCATTAAAAAAATTATAAAAACATAAAACATTAAATTATATTCATAAGATATAATTATAGAGTTAATGTTTATACGAAAGAATTTGCAAAATATTAATTCAACTAAAAATTACGAACTTTACGATCAATTTATATATAATATATACAATATATAATAATATTATATTATTTATATATAATATATAATTAGAAATTACATTACTACACTTACCGACATGAAGAATCGGTCTGGTTGCCATTTCGTGGAGCAACTGGTCCACGTACTTCGAATCCTTAGGGTATAACTCCAACCTCGAGATTTGCAGGTGAAACTTCTCCAAGGTCGTGCTATTTTTCCTGCAATGAGAAAATTTGCACATAATAAATCATATAATATGAAATATTTTTGAAACACAGATATTGAAAATATGCACTGTATATGAAGATTAATCTAGATTTTTTCAAGCAATTAATGTTTCTTGAAATTTTTACAAAATTCCAACAATAAGCTTAGAAAGTTAAAAAAATTTTCCTGTTCATTATCGATTGCAGCATTTTAACAGGAAATTGGCGATAACATTTTATTCTGGAAGTGTCGACGTTTCCGATTTTAAAAACGTCCATAGTGTTTTAAAAATTTCCGGCAAATATTTCTACACAAAACGAGAACGAACGATAAAAATGCAATTTACGCTGCCATTTTTTTGCGATATGAGAAGGTAAAAAAAGAAAGATAAAGAACGGCAAGGCAAAATGAAGAATATTATATGTGCATAAATATAAATACGATACGAATATGAATACACAAATCGCTTTGTGGCTTCATAATTTCTAGATTAAGTACGTTTAGTAATTCACGACAGATAACACCGTCAATGCGCAACCTTTTAAAATGACGATAAAATAGTGGTATATCATACTTTTATGCGTCACAGTTTTAATGACTAAATAGTACAATGTCATGTTATAACATAAAAACTAATATCATATGATCGAATGGAAAAAAGGGATGCACATATGTAACTAGTACATCATTTGAAATTTCATTCTCGATCGTTTCGGTGAAATGAGACATTCCGCGAGAATAATCGTCCGAACTTTATGGCGCGATATCGAGCCCTTAGGGGATAGTAAAGGGAGATGGAAGGGACGAAGGTATGGAGAGAGGATCAAAACCGTGACGATCGTGAAAACATAATTCGTAGGCGTTCGGTCGTTTTAAAATGCATGGAACGGCGTCCACGACGACGATGGCCTTACGACCTTCGTTTTATGTGCTAAGAGAAGTAAGAAGGTTTCTTATCCTTAATACGAAAAGACGTTGCTTCGATTATCTTTCTACGTATACGAATAACGTGCATCCTTTTTTTCGAGATGTTTCTATTTTCAAATACGCGAATCGAAGAGAGATTCGTGAAATTACATTGATAATACGAGCATAACGATATAAATAATGGCATAATGTATAATGATACATAATAAGTAGGATAAAACAAATCAATCATAGTCGAATTATATTCAATTTTTATAATTATCAGTTGTGATTAAAGTGCAAGTAATTACTTTGAAAAATTTGTTTTTAATTTGTTAAATTTTTTTTTTCGCGCAAAAGAAAACTTTCTACGGCATCAAACTTAAATTGAGTAATTTACTACCGGACACATTGGCAGTCTTTTATTAAAATTCATCTCATGGCCCTTTCGCTGCCACCCTGTCACCCCCACTCTCAAGCCCATTTCCACCCCCAACCTAAAATCTGAGCAGTTGTCGATATCCAGTTACGACGTGTTTCCAATAAAAATCCGCCACTTTCGCTAAATAAATCATTATATCGTTGCTTTACTGAAACTTTCAGCCATGTCTCGATTTTTCAATTTTTCCATCGGGTGTTTAGAAAATGCAAATAAATCCTCACAATTAAGGAAATATATTTTAACTTTACTTTAGATTAATGCGTGACAATCTTATTTTACTTTCAATATAGATTGGTTTATTTTTTATTACTCTTTTATAGATTAACTTTTTTATTAATTAATATAATTTAATTATTTAACGTGTTTTATTCGTTAACTTATTTCAAAAACAAGTGAATTTATCTTACTGTTCTTTCTTAAATTAATTTTCGATTTACTTTTATTTATATTTATCTTTTTCCGTATATTGTAATTCAAAACAGTGTTTGGGCCTAAGTAGCGAGCCAAGGATAACACCACGAGATTTATATCCTGCCACCGGATGGTTAGTATGCCGCAAAGACTCTGCTATGATGCTTCTTCATCTTTCTTGAAGGCGGGAAGTTGATGCGACACTTCTGGGCAAGGATTTTTCACCGTCGCGAATTATCCTTGCGACATTTTATATAAATTATACAATACAGCTTTATAACCACTGATATATAGGATATTCTAGAACTCGCGGATATTTTTTAACAAGTTTTCTGACTGATTTTGTGCCGAGTTTCTTCTATATAGAATTTTAACATTCGCAATTTATTTACTTAATTAAAGAATTTAGTAGCTATATATAATACTATTTATTAAAATTTCAACACTAGATCTTTGTAATATATTTATTTCATCTTTGTTTTATATATTCCTTGATTGACATTTGTATTAAATATTTCATACGTTAAATATTGATTCATTTATGTTATATATTTTTAATTAGTAACAATTAAATTTAGCAATTTAATCGAATATATAATAATTCAATTGATTTAATTGAGAAATGGGTTTGTCCAGTGAACGCGTAATTTGTCCAAATTGATTTAATTTAATTTTATAACAATGTAAAGACATACGCGGCGACGGAAAAGTTTCTGCAAGACTCCCGGATTTCATTTTTGAGTCTGAAGCGTGTAGTCTCGATCGGAAGACAAATATTTGACGAAATATTTGATGGAATATTTGGCGAGGTCGCGCGCGGTTACAGCTGCTCCGGGAATTTGTTTAACAAAATCATTTCTATCTGTTGAAATTTCGTGCCGAAATGCGAAATCACGAAATGAGAATGTAAACAAATCGTAATGTATGATATAATTGCGCATGGGTTATGGAATTTCTCGAGCTCACTAGTTAAATAATATTTCTAAGAGATTTATCATTATATATAAGAGAAAATCTTTATCTTCAGTTTGATCATAAAGAAAAAAAATCTTCCTTTCCCTTCATTAACAATCATTGCAAAAACACAAAATCGATTAGCAGTAAAGAAGAAACTTCTTTACGAAGAAAGATTTTCAAGTTCAGATACGAGTATATAAAAATCCTTACAAATGAATATCTAATTAAATTTGTCACTTAAACTTGTCACTTCGTTTGAGCAACAAATTATCAAATCTGAAATCTTAGAAGCTTTCAAAGCCGCGAACAAACGCGACGGCTGATTAAGGATTTCATGATTAGGCTACTCTCTCTCTCTCTCTCATTCTGGGATGTTGTCAACGTCGACGACGTAGTCGACGTCGTCGTCGTCGTCGCGACGTCGCCCTGTCTCTCGAACTGCAAACCGAATCTGTAGATTGAGTTCTCGGCGAACACACGTGCGAGCGAAACTAATCCGCGACTTCTTCCCCTCCTCTCCCTCCTGCCACCCCTTTTCATCCACCACCCTATTCCTTTCTCGATGTCGATGTCGGGAACTCCGTCGAGACTAAGTCTTAAGCCTGGTTCTCATGTATAACGCGTAGCGATCCCGAAATTAGCTCAGAAACGAGAGGTTTCTACTGGTAGTGTTATTGGATTCGCAGGTACTTAGATCTCTAGCTTCCGGTTTTCCTAAGCTCGCAAATCCTCTCTCCTGCCCCCCCCTCTCTCTCTAGAATTTTTATATTTTTTTGTAGTAAGAAATATAATTAAATAATGAAATAGGAGCGATTAAATAACCATTCGCAGTCGCTTTTCACTTCTGCGTTCGAGACGCGCGTCAGGATCGGAAATGCAATCAAAGGTGGAAATTCGAGGGATGCGATATGGGCAAAAATATAAACGGCAAATCAAATTAATTCGAATCGCGCGTGGACAAGACGTAATCAGTCGTGGAGTGCGCAGATGAAAAGCTGACCTAAGCCTTCGTTATTGCACATGCACACACCCGTGAAATTGCGTTAGCGATCGCGTGCATATTGAGAAGGAAAGCGAACGAAATGGTGCATAGTGTTTCCGGCATGGTGATTCGTAAATACGCGTACAAATCAGTAATCCGACAATTTTTTATATTAAACTCATGAGCAAATCGATAATTATGATTATATCTTAAATAAAAAAACTAAAACAAAACGAGATCTTTGTGTTCTAAGGAAGAAAATTTTCTAGAAAAAATTATAAAAATGAGTGAGATAATTCCAACCGTGAAGAAAAAAAAATTTATTCCGCGCTTCCAAACTATTTTTGCACGAGAAATCGTCCTTTGTTCGATTGTATTAACATTTTATTCTTATTCTTTATAATAACTACATGCGATAGCTACATCGATGATATTGTGATAACAATTTATCATCTTTATAGAGATCAGCTTTATAAAATTGCCGAGCCTTTCATTTAATGAAATTTATGTAAATATCATAGCCACTCGCTTTTGAATTTCTAGGCGAAGAACAACACGATTTCACATATATAATTTCCCGCCAAATAACACGATTTTATATAGTTTTCCGGAAAATAACGCGATTCGTGTCGAGAGATTCTCAAGTGACGTCCATCCGTCCGCTCCTGCATAATGCATACGATGCTTTCTCACGTGATCTCGCAACGGAGGGAGGAAATATCACCGCAACGCCACTGGAGAGAATATCAATCCCGCGAGAGGATATCAATGGCGAATCGCGGATTGAGGGAGATGTCACTTCCTCAATTCGCAGATTCTATCCTCGATATTTCGAAATTTCTCGATGCCCCCCAGTTCGCTCCATGTAACGATTTATCTGAAAAATATCCTACTACGCTTTATCTGTTTCCAAACAAGTGTATCATTAATTATAATTTAAAAAATGTACAAAATATTTTCATATTTTGTGTAAATTTTATATCATGCATGATTATATATCATACTTTTAATAGAATTCAAAACTTATGATTCATAATTATTGATGTTATAATGTAGTACAAATTTATGCTCGTATGTTCAACATATCTTGATTTACTCGTATTTAATGAATAACCAAAACTAATCAGGATAGGATCTCTGAATATAGCGCGATTAATTGTTCAATGAAATTACAATATAATTACTCTATTATCTCGATTAATTATCGGCAGATATACGATTATCTTATTCTTTTCTAGATCAAAGCTATTTAAAAGGCACATTGTGAAAAAGCATTAGCCAACCACGATTAACGTTGACCGACTTTGCCAGCA